AAATAGAAAATCTTGTTAAATCCCATGGCCCCAAATAAAAGACAGGAAAAATGAAGGACAATGCATTAAAGTATACTAGTGCTCGTGTGAAAAACTGTTATGGTATTTGAATTGTAAATTAGTAAAGGTTGGAAATTGCTTTGGTTGCAGAGAAGTTTTTAATTAAAATGAAGTTATTTCTGTTTCCTAAAAAAAGGTGAGAAGTTTGATTATTTTAATTGCCACATTAAATTTTAGCAGAGAGCCTTTTAATAACTTGGTTTAAATTAAAATGTGGCAGAAAATAGTTGGGAGGAAACTCTATTTTGCTTTTGACTTTATACTATATATGGCACATAAAATCAGTACCATGTTGCCGTATTTCATTGCATCCAGTGTAGCAAATCAGTTTGGACCATAACTAGCAGCCTATGGAATGAATAAGGTCCATTGTCCTTTTTGTAGCCACCAAAGTGTCTTCAAATAGTCCTTCAGGGATACTTTTCAATCTTTTCTAGTAAAGAAATTTTGAGAAGTAGGTCTTTAGATAAGGTTGTATGGTAGAATTGGGATTTAAAGGTTAGAAGTTTAAAGGAGGGCAGGATTTAAGTAGGATGAGGAAGAATATTTCTAATTGTAGGGAGTATGAACTCTGACATGTCTCCTCAGAACAGAAGAGAGGTTCATGGTGGAAAGAAAGAAATAACATAGAATAGGCCTTGATAAACCAGTAAGGGAACCCAATGGGATGCATGCGTGGGACTGAAGTTAGAGTAGACTCTTGAGAAGCATGAATCGTCTCTTTTTCAGTTGTAAAATGTGAATTTGGGGCCTTTCAAGCAAGTATTTTTTGTGCTAACTCTCATAGTTTTGAGTGTGAATAAATACAGATTAAATGGCCCAGTCCGAACGTGTTACCTGACGAGGGGGCTGTGTTTTTCTTCTCTTTTCTAGTCCACGCCTTTGCATCTAGCGGCGGGCTACAACCGAGTTCGCATCGTGCAGCTGCTGCTTCAGCACGGTGCCGATGTTCACGCCAAGGACAAAGGGTAGGCGCAGTTCCCATCCTCTTCAGGGCGTTGTTCATGGATTGTTGTGCTCTGTTCTCCTCTCGGGCTCTGGGGATCCTCAGCTCTATGCAAAGCCACGTATTCCACTTACTACAGCTTCTGTAGCGTTTTGAGAACGTTCACAACTTGGATTTCAAACTTAATTTTCATGCACCTTCCTGGTAGGGATACTTCTCATAATAATTTCTGAAATCAGTTTGATTTTATTGCAGTTCTGCCATTTGAAGCTACAATTTGTTTTTCAACTGCAGTCATTGGTTTTCGACTCTTAGTTTGCATTTTAGAAAAACAAACTGAAAATTGTGATTACCCAGTAGCATAGCTATCATGTTCCTCAGGTATTAAAGCATTATCCTTATTAATACTCCAAAATAATCAGTATAGAATATCTTATTTTTTCTCCTGCTGAAATCTTGGACATCTGAACTGAGAAAACCTAGAAGGTCCTCTTGTAGGTTAATATGGGAAGGGGAGGAGTGGGAACCAAGAAAGCAGCCGTGTCATTTATTGTATGAAGAGGTGAGGTTTGGAAAGCTTTGTATCAGTTCCCCGCGTAGTCTCCAGGGGAGTAAGTGCCTTGGGTCTGCTGTCCCATGAGCTGGGCTAACCTTTCTCATTGTCCCTCCTGAAGATCTAAAAGATAACTGACCCTACTGCCCAGGTAAAGTAGATTATGTTGCACTCCTGTGATTGACAGCATGAAGAAGAGATGCCCTAGAGGGGGGTGTCTCTCACTTTGCCCCTCTCTACGTCAAGAAACACAGAAGCGAACTCAGTACTTGAGACACCTTTCAGAAGGCGAATTCATCCGTTTCACATCTGCTCTTTTTAGTGCCTGTGTCACAAACATTTAGTGTTTGTGCCATATATGAATGGTGTCCTAATAGCATAGGGGCATAAATACCTGATGTTCCTGTACATCTCTGTTTCCTTGCGTGTGTCTGAAAACAGATGGGTGTACAATAGGTGAGTCATCAACAGATGTACACCGCCAAAAGAGGGTTTTTGACTCAGGATACTTTGATATGCAAGTTATAATAGTTTAGACATTTAATTCCTATACTAGAAATTACCATGAAAGTGAATTAAAATGGTGGAATGTTTCCATTCACTACCAATTAATATTTGCTTTTGTAACTACTTAATATGACATATAGAGCAAAATAAAAAGCATATAAATTAATATGACATATAGAGCAAAATAAAAAGGATATAAATTAGCACATGATGCTCCTTTCACCTAAATGTTCTCTAACTGGTATTTTTATTGTTATATTTAAGGGTACCAAAAGATAAGGTAAAGGTATAAATATAAACTGTGCTTTAAACTCTCTTATTGAGAACATTTTTAAGTATAATTATATTGGGGTTTATTAGATTTTGTGTCTCAGCACTTCCTGGATGAACAACTATAAGTTGTTTGAAATTTAAGTATTTTCATTTGCCTTTTGTTGTTCAGTGGACTTGTGCCTCTCCATAATGCCTGTTCATATGGACATTATGAAGTCACAGAACTGCTACTCAAGGTAAGAGAAATTCAGAGTATGGAACATCATTTGTTTTTGTTTTTAGACTTTTCATGGCTTTTCATTTGTTTCTTTGCCACATGAATGTCTCTTTAGATTTTTAAGAGAATAAAATAGTTTTCAAAAAATTACCATTACCTTAAAAGTTTTAAAACATTCAACTTAATTTGAGCTTTTTCAAAGAGAAATTAAAACACTTATTCACATTTTTTAGTTATAACTGTAATTCACAGTGAAACAAATGTTTTTTCTGTGTTTTATTTGGTCCAGATTACTGATTACTGACCTGAAACATCTTCTCTCACTGCAGCATGGAGCTTGCGTTAATGCTATGGATCTCTGGCAGTTTACTCCGCTACATGAGGCCGCTTCCAAAAATCGTGTAGAAGTCTGCTCTTTGTTACTTAGCCACGGTGCTGACCCTACATTAGTCAACTGTCATGGCAAAAGTGCTGTGGATATGGCTCCAACTCCTGAGCTCCGGGAGAGATTGACATGTATGTGTTTATATCCGAAATCAGTATGCTTCTTTCAAATTGGAGTATCTTTCAGTTGAGTTTTGTCTAATTTAAATAATAACCTTCCCTTTTTACAAATATACTAGTTTATAATCCTCAGTGTTTAATTGCATACTTTTCTTCATGAATTCCACAGGAATTATACACACATACTGTATTTTGTGTTTCTGTAAACCTAATTCTGATTCATATGTTGAGGCCCCTCTCTGTGTTTTTGAAGACTAATGAGGTTAAGTCAATCAACAACCATTGGTTGAGAGCTTATCATGTGCCCAGCATTAGAAATACAGCAGTATACAAACTAGGAAAAAACTGAGAGCTCAGAGCTTATGCTCTTACTCCATTGATAATCTACCATTATTGAGCACTGCTGGTTCCCAGGCCCTTCAGTGTTGCACAATCACCTTTTTATTTATTATGTGTGTGTGGCCCAAGTATCATGTAATCACTTGCCCAAGTTTAAGTGAGATTTTGTTTTTATGATTTAGCAAAAATAATCCTCTCAAATATTGATGTATATTACTAATATATACTATGTATGTAAATGTTTTCTAAATAAACTGTTTGCTTTAGAATAGTTTTAGATATATAGAAAATTTATGAAGGTATCACAGAGAGTTCTCATATATTCCACGTCTAGTTTCCCTCATTATTATTACTTTATAATAGTAGAGTACCTTTGTCTTAATTAATAAACCCTCACTGGTACATTATTACGTAAAGTCCAAACTCTGTTTATATTTCTTTAGTTTTTATCTAATGTCCTTTTTCTGTTCTAAGGTCTCATTCAGAATACCACATTACACAGAGTTTTCATATACAATACTGAGATGTATGTCATTCTACATGTGGTCAGACAGGTGTCACCTGCCTAATTTTTACCTTGCCCCATGGTCTGTGTTCTCTCTTAAATTGGGGATTCTAAGAATCAGATAATACCTAAGAAAATCTTTGCTAAGTGATAACTTTTAGAAAAGGCATACTCAATGTGATGTTAGCATCATGTTTATTTGAACTGGTTTTAAACTATGATAGTTTATGTTAAAACAGAGAGTTTTCCACAATTGTGATCTTATTTAAATGGACATTTCAGCTTATTTTGACATTCAAATAGGTGACATCTACTATATTATAGGCCAACACAAGTTAATTGTAACTGGGCAGTTACATCTCTGTCTTTGTAATGAATTCTTTTGGAAGTTTCTTATTCCTTCCTAGCCAGGCGACTCTTGCCACTTTCTATGGTGCATAATATAATTCACTTTTCTATTTGCATGTTCTATCTTGCTAGTGAATTTTTAATTCTTAGAGAGCTCTTTGTTTTTATTTTTCTTTATCATAACACCTGAATAATTCCTTGTTACCTAGTAAATGGAATTTGGGTTTGGGCCTCTGTCTCCCTCCCTCCCTCCAGCCAGCAGAGTGCATCGCTTACAGTATGTGCTCAGCAAGTTCACTGGACTGAATTTGACTCAACTTAAAACTTATTCTTTCTCTAATTCCCTTTTCTTAATTTATATACTAGCTCAGCTTTATCTCCCTACGTCATCATTTTACATTTTTTTCTTTTCAATCATTTTGCAAATTATCAAAATTATTGATACATTCTATTTTACATTCTATTTTAGCGGTCTGTCTTATTTCAGTGTAGACATTAAAATTTGATGTTAATCTGTATTGTTTGTGAATTAGAGTACTTTCCAAACTTCTCAGTATCTCCTTTGTTTCATTAACTAAGATTCTACCAATGAATTATTTGAAGATCAGACCTTCTCCATCTGTAGTCTTCATCAGCATGTCTCCACTGCTTTGTACGAGGCATTCACAGTTACAGAAAATTATACAAAGGAAAAAGGCTCTTTGATTTCCTTTGTGGTACTAACATTTCCACTCCACACATTTTATCTGTTCTTCCTTGTCTCATTTTCTTTGCGGTTGTTATGAAGCCAAATGACCATGGTTTGGTTTCATTCTTGTTTTAAAATAATGAACATTAAGAGAGAAAGTTTTAGGTATTTTATAAACAGCAATTTTCAGAGTAAGTCTGAGTAATTTATAGTTTTACTACTTTTTTTATGCACATCCTTAAAGTTTAAAAAACAAGCCTTTATGTAACCTTTGCATTTAGAAGTTTAGAAGGGCAATTATATGCTTGATAGATTTTTCATTCTCTGGGAAATTCTTTTAATCTTAAGTATTGTTCAATAAAATATTTTAAATTTGAAAATTAATTTAGGTAGAAATATTTACCTTTTTTCTAAAGAGCAAAGATTTTATTTATTGTTATTTGAGAAAATAGCATGCTGTGTAATTATATTATTTCATCATAATTTCTTAATTCTTTGGTACGGCATTCTTATCGTTTATGTTGCTCATAAATTTGCCTTGCCTATTTAATTTTCTTCCGAGATGCCTTTCCTGAACATAAAGAGCACATAATTTAAAAGGCAGAAATGCTTTTATCACCGTGATATTCATAGAATATTTGTCATTATGAGAGAGACCAGTATGATTTGCACTAAGTTTAAATTTCTCTAGACTGGTAGCCCCACAAAGCTGTACTTTTTGCCAGACATCAGTTCTCAGTGCACCACCTTCTTCTGCACCTGTCTGACCCCCCTCCTTGTGTGTAGCAATTTATAATTCTTACTTTATTGTTTATCATTGCAGTGAAAATCTATTGTTTTGCTATTTGAATTTACTTTTGTTTCATTTGGCCTTGTTTTTTTATTTTTTGAAATTTTGAAGTCCTATACGTTGAGCAATTAAGCAATGATAAAGAACCTCTAAAGAAAGAAGTTACATAAAAACATTTTCCCTGAACCTGCCGTGCATTATTTTATAAATTTTCAGTGATTCAGCATCCAGGCAACAAATGCCTACTGAGTACCAGCCATATGCCTACCACCGTGCTAGGTGATGGAACTACCCTCACAAATGTGACAGTGCCATATGGCTAAATGCACATGGCTGGGGCCCTTATGAGAAGAAATCCTAACCCAGTAATGAGGAAGGTCAGGAAAGCTTCTGCAGAGTAGCGAAAGTGAGACCTTGAACAAAGAGTTCATAAGTCACATCTGTGCATCTGTGTATGTGTGTGTGTGTGTGTCTGGACACACGTGTGCTTGTTTCTCTCTTGTCTGTTTAGGGAGAGAAGGGCATGTGATGGGACTGTGAGAGGAGAGGAGAGAAAGGAGAACGTAGTACTATGCAGATGCAAAAGCCTGAATGGGAGAGGGTCTGGAATTATTAGATAGTATGTCATTGCTGTTTGCATCGTTTTAGAACAATTTTCAATTTTTTTTTTTTCCAGTTTTTGGCCGCCACTTCCAGCATATGGGGCCGGTGCCTTACTCCTTTGAGTCACAGGTGCCGCCCCAATTTTCAACTTTTTGAAAAATAATTGGGCATAGCTGGGTGTTGTGGCAGGCGCCTATAGTCCCAGCTACTTGGGAGGCTGAGGCAAGAGAATCACCTAAGCCCAAGAGCTGGAGGTTGCTGTGAGCTGTGACGCTACGGCACTCTACCGAAGGCGGCAAAGTGAGACTCTGTCTCTAAAAAAATAAAAATAAAAAATTTGAAAAGAAAAAAGTCTCTTTAAAAACAAAGAAAAATAAGTGAGCATATCAAAATGTAAATCAAATTTGTAAAATGAAAAATAAGACATACTTTTTATAAATAAGAATATGGATTTTTATTCATGCAATTAATTTAGATATGGCTTTTTAAAAATCTCTTACCTGCTTATAAAAATAATAAATATAATATTAATTGTTCTTTAAAAATTTTCAAACTCTGGGGCGGCACCTATAGCTCAGAAGAGTAGGGTGCCGGGCCTATATACTGGAGTTGGTGGGTTCAAACTCAGCCCCAGCCAAAAAGAAAAAAAAGTAGTTCTTCCCTAAAAGTAGTATCTTTTTTGTTTAAGACCTATATCACGGTGCGTGTGTTCACAAATTATATAACTGGTTTCTTTTTGGTGAACATGTAGGTTGCCTGTTTTAAAACTCTGCTGCCCTAAGCATCTCTCTTGGTATGTGTATCCTTATGAACTCTAAAAGTATGAAATACTCTTATTTCAGAGTATATGTATTTCAGAATTTTTCATGAAATCTACGCCCTCATCCTTTGCATTTTAATGTTCACATTGTCATGTTGCTGCTATTGCTAAAATAGAGAAATTTGTAAAATTAATAATTTCCTAAAACTTGATTTATAATCATGAGGAAGATTTTTATAAATTTTATATCTTTTTTTATGTCAACCTTTATTTCATTAACAGATGAATTCAAAGGTCATTCTTTACTACAAGCAGCCCGAGAAGCAGATCTAGCCAAAGTTAAAAAAACGCTTGCTTTGGAAATCATTAATTTCAAACAACCACAGTCCCATGAAACAGCACTGGTAAGGTTTTATTGCTAATCTGTTCTCTGGGTCTGTAATAAGAGTGTGAGCATAAAGTAAGGCTTTTCATGTCAGAAACCTTCAAGGAACGTTACTATCTGAAATGCGGGAATTTGCATTTTTATGTTGGTTGCACTGATTTTTTAATTTGGTTCTGGGGAGGATTCTTTTCATGGGTGAGAGAATAGACACTTGCTCAACCTTGATTTAGAAATTATTTTACCTTTGTCTTTACCCAGCCTTATAACAAAGCATTGGTGGCCAGTGCTTTCATAAACTACTAGATGCAATTTTCCCGGTAGAATTTTTTCCTTCTGTCTGCTAGATAAAGACTGTATGTCTTTCTGTAGAAGATGAAAGTGTGTTTCAAAGATACTGGCATCATCCTTTGAGCAATTGTATCCAAAGAACTGATGACATTCATGCTAGAAAAATGGTTAAGATGATGAATTTTCTGTTTCAGACTATAAAAATCATCCTTAAAACTATTTGTATTTTTTCTTATAATGTACTTTCAGAAGGATTATTTTATTTTCTTTGTCACTGAGTACATTAAGGGTCAGATATGGGGTGCTTAGTGATTGCTCCAGAATTTAGAACATAAGCATGTGTGATGCCTGTATTACAGACCTCTAAGCATGCTTTAGTTAGTATTCTTACATGTGTCTGCTGCACACAGGTTAGGTTTTAGTCAATATCTGCTGAAAACAACATCAAAAGATTCACCAAACTGAAATGAAGTAACCGTATGTCCACTTCCATGTCTACCTCTTTACTGGGGTTCAGATGCATTCACGCTAACACAGCGTTAGGCCAGGAGATATGCAGAGCTGCAGAATAAACCAGACTCACTTTTTCAGACTATTCATCTTGTTCAGTTGTAAGGAGTTTTTTATTTTTAAAATTCTAACGCAGACAGTAAAATGAAACAGTACAAAAAATGTGTACAAAACATAAAATTACCGAGAACGATTCTTCCTCTAAGCTGCTGCAAGTTCATCACTTCTTGTCAGTCCTGGGGAACATAAGCTTCCCCACCCATAGTGCTGAGAGTACCTCTGTGGAAGAGTGTGGGGAGGATTGACTTGTATGCTGATTTCCTAATAAAAGAGTGAGTAATTTAGGTAGAGATTTGTATAGCTCTGAAGATGCAATATTCTGATTCCTTGGGTGGCATATGCATTGAATAATTACTCATTGTCCAAGCAAAAAGAAATGCGTCTCAATACTTAACTAAGAGCATAACTTGACCTTGATTTACAGGCTCATGTTTTGTACCCTCATTGTATTTAGAGGGAATATTGATCATCTGCATAATTTAAAACCTAAGTATGTTCGGATGCTCTTTGAGATAACAGTGTTTTTCATAGTCAGCACATGAGATGTACCTTTGAAAAGAAACTGACTGTATTGACTGAGTTGTGTTTACTTTGTAGCACTGTGCTGTGGCCTCCCTGCATCCCAAACGAAAACAAGTTACAGAACTGTTGCTTAGAAAAGGAGCAAACGTTAATGAAAAAAATAAAGAGTAAGTGTAATCCCAGAACAAGTCCTTCAGTTGTGGAAGAGGAAACACGATAACAAAGTGAAAGCCACTTTTCCCTTTTCTCTTCTCCGTAGTTTCATGACCCCCCTGCATGTCGCAGCAGAAAGAGCTCACAACGACGTCATGGAAGTTCTGCATAAGCACGGAGCCAAGGTGAGGGCACGCCCGGCAGAAAGGACCCACACACGCTGGGCGGCTGGCCGCTCTGAAGGCTGCTGCTTTTCTCCCTGATTGTCTGAAGAAAGTAGTTTTATAGCAGGCTATTAGCTTGTATTTGAGCTCATAGATTCTCTTATAGAGCTAATTTAAACCTTGTTTCTAATCAAAGTAATTACCCATGTTTCCTGGTCTTTTACTGTAACTCTTTCAAGCAGTAAAAGGTAGCTACAGTCATTTGAAAAAGATTTCAACTTTACATCATTTTAGTTAATACTACAGTTGATATATTTTGGTAGTCAATATTTCAATGCTAGTTTATCAGAAAATAATTTACATTAAATGATGGAGTCAGAATACCTCTACTTATTTTAAGAAACAGTTGTATTCCTTCAAATTGATAATGATAATAACTTTTTCAACTTTTACGCCAAAGAAATACGAAATTTTTAATAACGTTTTATTGGCATTATTTGAATGGTAGAATGTGAAACTCTCTGATGAATCATTGGAGGAAGGAAGCATATTGATTATTTTTTAGAAATTACTTGAACTTGCAAATATTTTAATCCCTAAGAATGTACATTTGTAAGCAATCGTCTCTAAAATAGGATACAGATACCACTTGTATGTGGAGCATACAAGATGAGCTCCATTGGGAGCAAAGAAAAAAAATAGAATTTTAATTTATAATTTTTTATTTAAGAATAAAGAAATTAAGGCCAGGTGCAGTAGCTCATGCCTATACTAGCATTTTGGGAGGCTGAGGCAGGAGGATTGCTTGAGCTCAGGAGTTGGAAACTTGCCTGAGCAAAATATACAAAACCTCATCTCCACAAAAGCAAAAAATGATTCGGTCATGGTGACATGCAAGTCTGGAAGCTGAGGCAGGGGGAATCACTTGAGCCCAGGAGTTGAAGGTTGCAGTGAGCTATGATCATGCCGTTGTACTCTAGCAACAGGGTGAGAGAGACCCTGCTTTTTTTTACTATATAGGTTATATAATCCAAAAATTTGTGTATCACTGCTTCAAAAGGGCATTTGATGTTTATTTTTGAGATAGAGTCTCACTATGTTGCCCTGGATAGAGTGCTGTGGCATCACAGCTCACAGGAACCTCTAACACTTGGGCTTAAGCGATTCTCTTGCCTCAGCCTCCCAAGTAGCTGGGACTACAGGTGCCTGCCACAATGCCCAGCTATTTTTTGTTGCAGTTTCCATTGTTTTCTAGCTGGCCCGGGCTGGGTTCGAACCCGCCAGCCTCAGTGTATGTGTCTGGCACTGTAACCACTGTGCTATGGGCACTCAGCCAGGCATTTGATGTTTTTAATTATGATATCAAGGCAAGCTGGAATAAAAGGGAACACAGTTCTGTAAATGTAGGTATAACGACTGCATTGTTATGCAAGTAATGTCTTGTTGCTCTGTCAAACAAAAAATGCTAACCCTAAGTGAGCTTTCTGCCCCATTGAGGACATCATATGCTTATCATTGACCGGCATTGTGAATAGTTTGTGACATTTATAATGCTCTTGAAAAATTATTAATAATGCCCTTCATTTTGGGAAAATAGTTTCTGTTGATTATCTCCCATGTGACATTTTATGTCATAAAGGTTCAGTGAAAAATGACCTTGTTTTACAACCTGTTCTAGTCAGCCTTATTGTAGGTCTGTGGTTCTTGGTCTTCATCTGCCCAGCGTGTGCACAACACGTTCCCTTGTAAACACCTGCCAGTGGTGTGGAATGACTCGAGACTGGCGTCCTCTCTGTTCTTCCTACTGTAGTTCAGCTGAATTGAGAACTCAGTTGTGAACCAAGAGACACCAGTTGCCTTTGATAGATACCAAATGCCTTATCAGTAACTCCCATTTCCCTGTTCTCTGGTTCCAAGGCAGGACGCTGTCCCTTACGTGTGGTATATCTGGTGATTAATATGTTAGTAAAAACTCCCTGTAAAAAACCCATTTAGCTGCTATTGGGCCACAGTTTTTATGTGCTTAGCATTTTCTTTCAGGGGAACTTATGGCTTCTATTTGGTTTTCAGGCAACTTGTGGTTTCTATTTGATTCTAAAAGCACCTTCTGAACTGTCCCACCACTTGTTTATTAGGACTTAGCCCTCTTACCTGGCTTCTGCCACTCTCCCACCTTCCCTTCTTAAGGAATCAACTTCTCAGGCTGAGGCAGAAGAATTTGAGAGGGAGACCTAATTATCATTAACTAATTTATCTTACTTAGTCAGACAGTCTTCTGCCTAAAACTTGGTGATAAATACGAAGTTCAGGTTCCCTGAGCACGTTAATCTAAATATCCTGCTTATATAATAACCGAGATAACTATACATTTGTGCTTAGAATCCTCCACTTTCTAGTTTTGTGACCCTGTACTAAATTTCTCTGAGTCTCAGTTGTCTTATTAGTGATATGTTAAAAAAAAAACCTCCCCTACAGGTTGAATTTTTTAAATGAAATCAGCTTACGTATGTATGTAGCATAGGGCATAACACACAATGTTTTAGTTGTGAGTGTGAGCGTTTTCCCATATTTGTCTTTTCAAATGTTTATGTACTATGTATTTCCCTTTAATTATCTGAATTTTTTATAAGACTTATATATATAATCCCTTTATAATTAGTTTTGATCCACTAACTCAACAAATATTGGCATGTAAAATCCTTAAGACTGCAGAATACTGTGGGAAATACCAATTTGGAAGTTAACACAATTATGAAACTTGAATCTAATTCTGAATCAATTTAGCAGCATTAGCATTGAAGAAGGAAGAGAAAGATGAAAGCCACTTGAGGAGTAATGATTGCATTACTTGGAAATGAATTGAGTGTTGGAATGGGTTTATAATATGATGGTACAATAAAAGAAAGGTAGAAACACTGGTTTCCTCTGTCTTGATGGTAATTTTAACCTTGGAGTTGATAGGCTAGAGGGACACTTAGTAAAACTGGCTGTTGGAAAGTTAGCCCTAGAGTATGTGAAAGAGAGTTTAGGTCCAGGATTAGAAAGCTCTGTTGGTGAGTCATTGGCATGGTAATCATGCATGTTGACAGTGAGTAGGGTCCCTACTTGGGAAAGCTTAGAAATATGAGTAGAGAGTTGAGGAGAGAACCTTCGAGGATATGCCGTGTTTCTAGAGTAGCAACAGGAAGAGGAGACGGTGATGTCTGTCATGGTGTCTACTGCATGAAATGGGAGTATGAAGAAGGAGCACCTTCCTAAAATGGGGGTCTGGTGTAATCTGACAAAACTGGAGGATAGTAGGCCCATTAGACTGTGATGAAAAATGATAGCAGAAAGGGAGATGCCATCAGAGTAAACCACAGATGGCTTTAAATGACAGACTGAGGGATTCGACTTTATTGGAAGGTACTGAAAAGTCATTCTTCTGAGTTGCGTAATAACTTGGTAAGAGCTCTGTTTTAGAGGAGTAATTCTCCGATCATCTTACCGTGATTTAGCAAGCTGGATTGATAGTTTTCGTTATTGTAATTGAACAATATGGTGTATCTCTAAGCTAAGAACAATATTAATGATTAGAATGTCCACAATTTTAGATTTTTCTTATGTGATAAAGAGGTAACAAAGAAGTAAAAGCTCAAAGAATGGCAGCTTGTGTTTCCCACTGATAAATGCTCGTGGCTGTGCTTTTGAGTTGCTGTGTATAAACAGTCATTTTTTTTCTGCTGGCAAAAGTGATAGAACTGAATATGTTGATAGTTCATGGTGACTTTTGTTAAAGACCATTAGTAATTTAGATGAACCCTTACCTGTACAAGTCTAACAGCCTTACTGGTAATGATGAAGGACTAGAGATAGGAAGATCAATCGTCTCAAATCCTTTCTTTTCTTAACTTTGTGTTTGGTGGGTGTGCACAAATGTTTTGAATACCAACCAGTATATAATTGAGAATTTGCTGTTTGCCCTTAGCAGGAGATTTCTAGAGGACTCAGAAATTCTGTATAATATAGTTCATATTCTCAATAACCTTAATTTAACTTGATGAAAACTACTCTAGTGTTATAATTCTTGTGACAGTTGTGTGTTTAATTGACATAGGTGTTCAGAAAGGGAGCAGTCGTCAAGACTTCTTTTTTTCTTTTTGTTGGGGATTCATTGAGGGTAGTCGTGAAGACTTCTTAGAGGTAGGGAGACCTGCACTGGATCTCATAGTCAATCCAGAGGGCAGGTGGAGGGTTCAGCAAACAATGCACATGGTCTTTCATCTGACTGTAGTAGTGGGTGTATATTAGAATATTCTGGAAGGTTAAGTTAGGCTCAGTTAGATGTGAGCAAATTATGAATACAATCCCAAAGTTTAATATTGTCTTAAACAATCTTAAAACTAGCTAAATTATTATTCTTTATATAACTCTTCAAAGTTTTAAAAATGAACATTTGAATCCTCAGATCGTTTTTTGGGTTTAATGTGTCTGTAGTTCAACTAGGGTGTTCTATTATAATTTGTCATTCCTTAGAATTAGAAAACAAATATGATCAACTATTTTGATAATCTATGCTTACCTATTCTGTTACTTTTATTTTCTGAGAACAAGTTTGGTAAAATCCATTCGTTCAAAAGTATTTGGTGAGCATCTTCATTGTGGCTAGCAGTGAACACCAGAGAATAGTCTCTGCCCTTATAGGCCTTATAGTCTATTAATTGTTGTCAAGGGGAGTGGCAGGGAATGGGAAGTGGGCATGAAAATGGTCATTTAAAGAAGGGAGGACTATGTTGTAATTTGCAATCAAGTGGCCAGAAAGGGTTAACTAAAAAGATATTTCTTCAGAACCAGTGAGCAAAATTAACAACGAATATCTCTGACAATTCTCTAAAAGCTTTAACAATTGATTTTTCTCATAAGAATATATTTGCTAGGATATGACGGGGAACAAAAAGAAATGCTCCATCTCTTGTGCTCACTCAGTGATTTTTTCAGATGAATGCACTGGATACCCTTGGTCAGACTGCTTTGCACCGAGCTGCCCTAGCAGGTCACCTGCAGACCTGCCGCCTCCTGCTGAGCTATGGCTCTGATCCCTCCATCATCTCCTTACAAGGCTTTACGGCTGCGCAAATGGGAAATGAGGCAGTGCAGCAGATTCTGAGTGGTGAGTTCTGATAGATAAGCAGTGTGTGATACACCTATTGTTCCATTTCCGCTGAAATACGCAGGCAAACTTTGCCATGTTCTCTTTGCCTTTCCTTGCTTGCAGTTTACCTGAGGCCTTCCCCAGGTTCCTTTTTTTGTTAGGGTAAGGCAGGTATGAGAAAGAAGTACACTTTTTAATTTTTTTAGTTTTAAATTGAAAACCTAATTCATGAATGTTATGACTTAAAGCTCATAAACAGTGTAGAATTATAGTAGCTATAAAATTCATCAAATAGAGAAAATTACAAATCATTCATATGGTAATGACCTTTAATGCTTATGTGTAATATTCTCACCTTTTTTGTAATTCTTAATTAACTTCATTGTAGTGTTATGAAATTATCTTGTCTTCTCCCAGTTTAAATTAGAATTGTAAAATCTTGCTGAATGTTGCAGTGTCTGCCTAGTACAGTGCTAGATATTTCAACTACCTGTACTTAATTGAGGGAGATCAAACATAAACTGATAGGAGCGTAAACTCTGACTCTGTAAGTTCCCAAATGAGAGGAAATTACAGTGTACTAAAAAATGATAGATTCAAAAGAAATTCAGTATAAATGATTCTTTCCCCAACCTTGTAATCTTGTCTATGGATTATATCTGCGATATAAGAACATAACAAACTAGAAATATAAAATGGACAGGGCCACAGGCTGGGAGTACCCCAGTGCTTTCTAACTCTGTCAGGCACAGTGCCACCTTTTTATAATGAATGGTTGATAACATCCCCTTTACTATTGAGAAATGAAACTCGTAGATATGTGGTTTATTACAAAAGTTTTAAGATACAGAAAAATCAAGAAACATAAAATCCTTGCAGACAGAAACAAATGAAGTCCTCCCAGCAACAATGAAAAGTTGACCAAGATGAAACTTGTACAGGTGAATCAGAAAGGACGCTGTTGACTGTGTTTCTTGGAAGTGAAATAATGGACCACAACACAGGCTGTCTCAAAACTTTCATAGTGACCCACATAGTATGACCTAACTATACAAGTATCTTCCCAAAATCTATATGAATACCCAAACCATAATAGAAAGTAATGTGTAATTGTTAATGTAACTGCTTGGACATGACTACAGTAGGAGTAAAAAAAATTAGTCCCATAAATTTCTAAACTTTCCCTCCCCCTCCAGAAATACAGCTCACTTGAGAAGCATTGCTATTGCTAAAATAGGGAACCTTCCAAGGCCTACAGAGATTTTGATATGTGCACGTTGTCAGACCTGGGTCAGAGCTAAACAGCCTCATAAAACTAAGTGTACATATTGTGAAAATTTTTGAGGACTTACTTTTTCAGCTGTAGTTTATTCTTAGATGGTGATCATTCTACTTCAGTCTTAGACGATGATTTTTATTGAGAACCACTGAATTTTAAGTTAATTTCTTATGCATCAAACCACAAATGAGGCAAACATATAGCTATCGCATCAAAATTTATAATACTGTGCATAATTTTTAGACATAATTAACAAAATGGAGAAGAAAGGATTGAATAAATCAAGCAGCTTAGATCTATCTCCTTTTAAAATATCTTCTACATGAATGCCATTGGAATATATGAGTTCTGGAAAAAGAAAATTAAGTATTGAATTACAGATGAAACAGTTTTCTTCAGTTATTAATTCTTACAATTTATTCTGTAAAAGCCACTCTCCTGAACAAATCACTTTAGACTAGAAGTACTAAAGTATTTCTTCTGAAATCTTTTTTTTTTCATTTACTTATTTTTTTTTTTGAGACAGAGTCTCACTTTGTTGCCTTAGGTAAAGTGCTGTGGAGTCACAGCTCACAGCAACCTCCAACTCTTGGGCTTAAGTGATTCTCTTGCCTCAGCCTCCCAAATAGCTGGGACTACAGGTGTCTGCCACAATACCCAGCTATTTTTTGTTGTTGTTATTGTGGTTGTCATTGCTTAGCAGGGCCCCTGGTGTATGTGGCTGGTGCCCTAAACACTGAGCTCTGGGCCCCAAGCCATTCTTCTGAAGTCCGAAACCTTTTCATAGCATCACTTGATCTTCCCACAGTCTTAAATCGGAAAGAAATTTTTAAAGCTAAGCGAGTTGATTTATTTATTTTTATTAAATCATAGCAGTATACATTAATACTATCATGGGGTACAGTGTACTGTTTCTATATACAATTTGAAATACTTGCATCCAACTGGTTAACATAGCCTTCATATCTTTTTCTTAGTTATTGTGTTAAAACATTTATATTCTACATTTCGAGAGATACACATGAACCCTTATAGGATGAACCATAGGGGTGATCCCACCAATCACCCTCCCTCCACCCTCCCCTCCTTTCCCTCTCCCCTCTCCCCATATTCCTGGGCTAAAATTGGGTTATAGCTTTTCTATGAAAGCTACAAATTAGTTTCATAGTAGGGCTGAGTACATTGGATACTTTTTCTTCCATTCTTGAGATACTTTGCTAAGAAGAATATGTTCCAGCTCCATCCATGTAAACATGAAGGAGGTAAAGTCTCCATCTTTCTTAAGTAGTATTCCATGGTGTACATATACCACAATTTATTGAAAGAAACTTCTAACTTTCATTTTAGAAGTGCAAAAACTAAACTGTTACATGATTTGTCTAAAGTTACAGGTAATAGAACATAATATAAAATTTAGGCCTCCTGGAGCTCAGTCCTTTTGTGTTGTGAAATGTGGCTTTTAAGAGCCACATTTAATGTCCCTAAGCATACTTTGGTCGATACATTAGAAATTATTTTCTTTAAAAACCTACTGTATTTGGGATAGTGTGAAATGCGTTTTTGGTTTCTTTGTAGAGGATTAATCAAAATATCTAATTTGTTAGCCTCTAAATTTAGTAGCCCTATTTAATTATATTCTTTTTAACATTGATATCATACCTTCCAGTTATACAGACATTTTAAATTGGATTTCCCTAAAGCCATTCAATAAATGTGAATTAACCAAATGTCTGTTTTAGGTAGGCCTTTTGTTCGCTGATTATACTAAGATCATTTTGATTTCAGAAGTAGTACTTCTGTTTTATATTGAAGTCATTGAGACTAAAAAGAAAAATTAAGCCTTGAGTACCAAAAGTCAAGTGTCCTCCCTGGGTTTATGTAATAAATCTGTGGCATTAGAAGATAAGGGGATTCCAGTAAGAAAAAACCAAACCGATGCCAAAGCTTTGCTACAACACTTTGTGAAAGCAATATATCATGAAAATGTTTTTGATCTTCTGGTCATAGGTTTTCTTACTCCCCTTTGCCAAATTTACGACCAGCAAATCTGAGGGGTAGAGTAGTAGGGATAGAAAGGGATTTGCATGTACTGGAATTTAATTAAATTTGGTTTAGGATGAGATGGATATAGATTTAAAGGAGAAAACATTTCTTACCTGAAAAAGATTGGGGAAACTCCTATATTAGACCTCAGAAATTTTTGACCCTTTAATCTTCTTCAACTTACCAAGTAATTTTTCCTCCTTAACTGCTCAGAGATTGTTGAAGAACCGATAGTAACCTTCCCTTTCTCCTGTGCAGAGAGTACACCTGTACGTACTTCTGATGTTGATTATCGACTCTTGGAGGCCTCTAAAGCTGGAGACTTGGAAACTGTGAAGGTAAGGCAGTGCTCTGAGTGTCTGGGATGGCACTGTTGAGTTGTGCTAACCTATTCTTTCTAAGCTCCTAAGAATGACTTCCTAAATCCTAACAAAAAGGATAAGCAAAGAAGACTCATAGTCAGGAGAAAGCCTTCATAGTAAATACACACACACACACACAGGTGCGCACGTGCTTTTTAGTCATTTTCTTTCAGGTTGCAAGAAAGCACTCTTAATTTCACTTATAATGATTAAAATGTCATTTTTTTGGCCACATTAACAAATATATAAACTAGCTCAAGCCCAAATATTAGTAGGTTAACCTTTGAAATGATGTTTCTTGATATTTTTCCAAAGATGTACACATTTATTATAGGAAAACATTCTTATGATCCCTCAGCCATTATAATTATCATGTGCAGTAGGTGGATTTTTCTTTATATGTAACTCTACTTGCCGAGAAAATGTTATGAGTCTGTAATTGTGATAAAGAACCAGTGGTTATAGATTTAACCCTAACAAAATAACAAAATACCCTAGACTTGGTAATTTATAAGGAAAAACAATTTATTTCTCACAATTCTAGAGCCTGGGAAATCTAGGATCCAGGAACTGGCAGGTCTGGTTTCTGGTGGGGATCATTTAATCTCTGCTTCCAAGATGGAGCCTTGTTGCTACATTTTAAAGAGGGAACAAATACTGTTTCTTCACATGGCAGAAGGCAAAAAACGCCAAATGCTGTGTGCAGCAGCTTTTGTAAGGACAGTAATCTTACTGAACTAAACACCTGCTAAGGGCCTGCCTCTCAGTACTACTGCAGCAGCGATTCAATGTCAGCGTGAATTTGGGGAGGGCACAACCTTTGAACCGTAGCACCCCTACTCAGCATATTAGTAGAAATAGAGATCTTTTCAGGTTCTTCGTTTTTATCTTATAATAAAAGCTCCCTCCAGTGACAGGAGAACAGTAACTCTGGTAAATGGGTGGAAAACCGCGCTGTTCTACCTTACAGTCTACCACTCCGTTTCCTACTTTGTTGGCCTTTCCTGACTTTCATTACCTTTCTTGCTGTTTCCTGGAAGTCAGATCATTAAGACAGTGAGCAATGATGGATGATGGAGCACAAAGACCCAGAAATTAAAAATCAGTAAAACAGAGTGTGAGTAGCCCTCACCAGCTACTGGAAAAGGATAAGTCACTTAAGATCTCCGAGACTGGGTTTATTTTATCTGTAAAATGAAGATAATGATCAACTTCATACACAGGCTGGCCATAAAGTTCACGTGCAGTTTCAAACTGCACACTGTTTTAAATTGCACATGAACTTCATGGCCACCCTGCGTGATAACCCTCTCTGAATGAACATGATGCTCTTTATAAACTGTAAATCATTTAAGTGTCATTATTATTACACAGAATATATCTCGCTGCCAGTAATACAACCTTCATTGCTGAGCAATTGCTCCCTATTGCTTTGTAAACAAAATTCAGCTTCTAATTTAGGTTTTGCAGAAATGGTAGCATTCAAAGAAAAGGAGACGAAAGAGATTTAGAGAACGTCTCTGTGGGACATGGAGGTAAAGGCCAAAAACTAGAGTATGATTAAAATCAGTTTGACTTGTAAATTTAACAAAGAACTCCCCCAAATCAAGTAAAGCACTGTTGGATCAAAGGGCCAGGTCAGTGGCCCAAGCAGAAAAATACATTTTTCCAGAGCCTTTTTGCTTTCTTGATCCACATTAGAGAAAACAAAAACTTTGTATTACTGTAGTCAACTCGGGATGGTCTTACTTGAAAGAATGGCTGAGGCATGTTAGAACAAGCGGATACTCTATGACAGACAGTCCCGGGGAGAAAAGACCCATAAAGATGAAATAGCAAGGCATAGTTTGCTTTCCTGTGAGTTTTTCTGTTTGATTAAAACTTTGATCAGAAAATGTTGGAAAAGATTAAATTACTCTGTATGTAGTAAAAGTATTTTTAGTCACTATAAAACTAAGCATAATGCTGATTTTTAAACATCATTTGTATCACCTAATCTGAGGAAATAAATATTCATTAGAAAGTTATAATTTATTCATTAGAAAATTATAATTTGCCTTTATTATTTGAAGCCAAATCTGTGAATGAATATTAATGTTCTTTTTGTGTTTGTCTGTGTATGTGCACCATAAAAGCAACTTTGCAGCCCTCAGAATGTGAATTGCAGGGATTTAGAGGGCCGACACTCCACCCCGCTGCACTTCGCGGCAGGCTATAACCGCGTGTCTGTCGTGGAGTACCTTTTACACCACGGTGCCGACGTCCATGCCAAAGACAAAGGGTATGTGCTGCAACCTAGCTGTTCGGGATTTATTCTCTTCATACTTTAGGGGGAAAAAAAGGTTTTAAATAATTTTGAAGTCTTAGATTTTTCCCCTATTAAAAAAGTAATGTTATATTTTTTGTTTAAAAGGTAAGTTAAAGGATTCTGGAAGTATCCAAACAGTGAAAATTCCTTGTCCGCCTACCCCCTAAAGATATAACTTTAAGACTTTGCATGTTCCAGATATTCTAAATGTATATCCTAGCGCATGGGTCGTGTGGTGGTGGTTTTTAACACAAATGGTGGTGTCATTTTATTTAGTCTTTGTGGTTTCCTTTCCATCCAGTATTACTTCTTGAATGTCTTTCCATATTAATACTTAATAGTTTATTTCATCCTTTTAATGCCAACATATACTATTTTATTACATTATACAAATATTTTGTAGTTGTATGTAATTTTAAGTTTATTACTTATCTCCAGTTTTTTGCTATTAAAAATGTGTACTCTTGTCCAAAAAAAGTTACCTATCCCAAGGTTATCAGTATTACTAGGACTATAATTTCATTTTTACCACTTTAGATATCTTTTATTTTTATATTAGTTTGCTAGATTATTTGACTTTATCTAGACAAAGCTTAAAGCAGCCACAGAAGCTGCTTAAAAATGTGAGAAGAGAAAGTTAACTAATATGAATTTCCATATTCTGAGTTCATTTCATACCATCTTCAAGTAAGCCAGCACCTTTCTGTGCAGTTGCATAATAGAGAATAGTACTAACTAAGCAGGTAAAGCTTCAAGTAACCATTATGTATTTATTTATTTATTCTTTTAAAGGGGCACGTCAGACATGAATGTTCAATAACAATATTACTTGCTTCTTCAAAGTGCTGTAAAGCCGTGGACAGCATTCAACAGTTTCTATTACCTATTTTAACATTTAGCATATTTCATTGCAAAACAACAGAAAAAGGCATTTGATCTAATTGTTTTTGCTCTGTCTTAACTAAATGCAACTTATCTTTTTGACGCATCCTTTTTTGTAGAGACAGAGTCTCACTTTATCATCCTCAGTAGAGTGCTGTGGCAGCTCATAGCAACCTCCAACTCCTGGGCTTAGGCAGTTCTCTTACCTCAGCCTCCCAAGCGGCTGGGACTACAGGTGCCTGCCAGAATGCCCAGCTATTTTTTGTTACAGTTTGGCCGGGGCTGGGTTTGAACCCACCACCCTTGGTATATGGGGCCGGCACCCTACTCACTGAGCCGCAGGTGCTGCCCAATGCATCCTTTTTTTTTATTGGAACATCTTTTGGTGTTTTAGAATGTCCGCTGCCTACTAATCAGAACTTAGAGTCATCTCAGAATATGTGTAGTTTCCTTATTTGTTATTTGACTGGAATTTTTAATTGATGCCAGCATTTTTCTTACTGAATACTTTTTTGACACTTGGATTGTGTGTTTTCATTGCTTGGCGCCTCAGTGTTTAAGCCTATGCACAGAACCCATCACTGAATCATTATGATTTTTAAAATAAATAAATAAAACAAAGGGTAGAACTTGCCTAAATAAGTTGAATTGCATTATATACTTTGTAAGTGTATAATTTTTCATTAGTAAAACTTGAATGGAAGAAAATCTGAGACATGATAAAGCCAGATTATTGATTGGTTATTTCTGAAATCACTTTGTAATGACTTTTATATCAATAAGATGAAAATCTGAATTAAAAGTATTGTGATGGAGCGTTATCCCATGCATATGTGCGTATGTATACATATATAATTTTTTTAAGGATAAGGATTGCTTTTACATATATATCCATCCACCCAAAACGTATAAAAAGTCCTTATATTGAACTGACATTTTTGAAATCATAAACTCTTATTTGAAAATGGATGATTATTTCTTAAAGAACAGGAAAGGATTATTTCTTTTTAAGAGGTATTCAGTATAATTAGTGTCTTAGAAGACTAGTATTACAGTAGAACCTCCATAGTTGACCACCTCCTGAAGTTGACCTAATTTTCACAGACCAGACATGCACCACATGTACGTATTAGTACAGTAGGCCTAGTTCCTTATGTTGACCACCTCTTTATGTTAACCAGTTTGTAACAGTCCCATGGGTGGTCAACTTACAGAGTTTCTATTGTACTTATTGTATTATAAGAATCATTTTAACTCAAAGGTTTGTTTTATAACTTTAAGGTAATTTTCTTTTGTTTAGCGGCTTGGTGCCCCTTCATAATGCCTGTTCATATGGACACTATGAGGTAGCTGAGCTTTTAGTAAGGCACGGGGCTTCTGTCAATGTGGCCGACTTGTGGAAATTCACTCCTCTACATGAAGCAGCAGCTAAAGGAAAATACGAAATCTGCAAGCTCCTTTTAAAAGTACGTAGTTAAAAAAGTTATAAAAATTAAGTAATTATATTATATTTTGGTTATTATTTGAAGTGAAATCGGGAGTGTTTCATCTTA